TATATAAGAGTGTGGGGAAACAGATCTACGTGCATATATTTATAGGTTTAGTATTAAGGCAGCAGATGGACATTGGGCCTCCACTCAAGCACTTACTCATTGTAAGAACACATTGTTCTATTAAATTGGCATTCTAGGATGCATACCTTCCTGACACTATTGCTGAAGAAAAATGTGAACATAAGCAAAGATGGTGAAGAAAGCTGATGGTGCCTGGCTACCATAAAATACACATTTATTTTTTAAATAGCCTAAGATGTTTTTATATGTGTGCCATTTACCTTATTTGGGTATTGTTATTTTTAATCATATTTTATATACTTTGGAACAGGATTCTTAGGTCAGAAAAGCTCATATCACTGGAACCCGATGTCTATGGTTTATGTTCAGTGCTTCTAGATGGAGTGCTCTTTGCTTCCAGAGAGGGCTGCTTGAAGGCACAGACAGTGTGTGCTGAAGGACTAACCTACAGGCTGGCAGTTTGAACCCACCCAGATGCCCTGTATCAAGGCCTGGCAATTTCCTTCTGTCAGATGTCAGTCAAGAACACTCTGTGGGGCAATTCTGCCCTATAAAACAGGGGACCACCACGGCTGGACTCAGCATCCGTGGGCTTGAGTTATTCTTCTGCACATATTTGTTTATGAGCAATATATAGATTCTCTAAATTAAGTGATCTTCATAGAAACGTAAAGACACCGAAACAAAAATTAAGCCCCAAACATGTAACCTTAAAAACGAATAAAAGTGCTTCTGGATTTAAACTTTTGGCTGAACATACTTACATATTTTATACAAACAGATTAAAACTGTTAATTTGTATTTTGTAAAAAGTTTTTGTTAGTGTGCTAACCAGTAAACTATTACCTCAGCCACCCCTTTCTGAACTAAAGAGCTCTATGGTTAATTTTTTTAATGGACTAATGTACATTTTTCAGCAGTATAAGAATCCCATAGCTCCCGTTTTAGCCTTCAAAATCTCTTTTTGAGAGAGAGTGTGTGTGTGCGTGTGTGTTTGCTGTTGAGATAAACACTGCAAACCTGCCTTCCCTCAGTCAAGGCTGGCTTCAGGTCAGAAACACAGAACATGGTGAGTGAAGATACTGATCGTAGTTCTTTTATTCAGGCCACAGACATTTGAATACAGAATAAACATTATGAAATAGAAAAATGAGATCCACTCTTGAAATATATGTCATTTATTTTTTCTCATCTTTTCTTTTTTAAGACAGAGATATAATGCCTGATTGACATTTAAGTAATAGAATTAGAAGGTCATTTCAAATCAGTTTATAGCTACATGATTTATTTCCAACCTAGCTTGTTCATTAGATCTTTCTCAGGAACTATAAATTGCCCAGAAGCATAATTTATTTACAAAGACCCTTGAATTTGAAGCTTTCATACTTAAAAAACAAAATGTAAGTGTTCAAGTCAGTGGTTATAAAATAGATTGCCAGTGTTGCAAACCCATCACCTTATTCTAACATTAGAATATCTATTGCTCCTGAAACCACACCTGCACTAATGAACATTGACATCCCCTGCCCACTCCATTCCCAGCCCTCCTACCACCTGCCCCACCTCCAAAGACACTGTCAAGTTGTGTAACCCAGGGTGAACCCACGTGATTCAGAGTAGAGCTGCATGCCATAACGTTTTTTTGTGCCGGTGACCTCTGAGAAACACATTGAGCTGCCTCTTGTGGGTTCAATCTGCCTGCCTTTCAGTTAGTAAGCTCTGTCCTTAACTGCGCCATTCAGAGACTCCAAAACCCAGGCACCCATGAAAATCAGCTTTCTACTTCTATAGACTCACCTTTCCTGGACTGTTCATGAAAATTGTATCAAACAGCATGTAGTCATTTTGTAACAAGATTATTGCATTTAGGGTAATGTTTTCAAAGTCTCTCCTGGTTGTAGTATATACTGATACTTCATTCTTTCTTATTGCCGAAGAATATTCCATTGTGCAGGTATATACAATATTCTGTTTTTCCTTCTACCAAGTGATGGATCTTTGAAATGTCTTCACATTTGAGTGTTATAAATAAATGCTGCTATTATAAATCACATTTATGCACACATTTTCTTGTTGACTTCTGTGTTCATTTCCCTTGGGTGGGTACTAAGGAGTGGAATTACTCGGTCATATGATTCTGTTTAGCCTTTTAAAAATCTGCCAACAAAATGATGATATGTACAACATATGTACAAATATGCTTGATGCAGTTGATGTATGGATTGTCATAAGAGCTGTCAGAGTCCCCAATAAAATGATTAAAAACAAAAAAAAACTGCCAACAGAGTATCTGTCACTCTACATCCACAAGTCAAGCAGTGTTTTTTTTTTTCCAATTTGTAAGTGACTCGTGTTTAAGACAGGGATGAAAACAGGAGGTGGAGGGGGCTGTCCTGTCTTAAAACTGTGTTGCTTGATCCCTGGCTTATTTTCCTTAGTCTGCCTTCTCTGTCTGGTAACCATCCTCCAGATAGGCAATAGACCCTTCTGGAGTCCAAAGCAGTCATTCTGGAACAGCGGGTATAAGTGAACACTGTCCTTGGTAAGTTAAGATGGAGGGCCACTTAAGAAGACTCCACAAGAGGGGCACTGTGTTGCCCAGGGCCTGCGGGGGGAAGTACGCTATCTCAGCTGTGGACTCAGCCACAGGGCAGTTTCAGCCGCGGCTCTGTCTTCCAGGCTGCTGCCCTCCTACCCAAATCAGCACCCACCCAGTGAGAGACTGTCTGCAAAGAGATGATGTTGAACTAATGATATCTAGTTGATGTAATTATATCACAATTGTCCAGTAGTTTAGGTCATAGATGGAAAACAAAATTAGTTGAATTCAAAAAAAAAAAAAATTAGTTGAATTCATAAAGAGGAGACCAATTATTTTTTCTCTAATATTTATTTGTGTTAAATGTTTTGTTTCTTCCAGAAAACAAGAAGTTATTTCAACTTCAAAGTAAAATCTACATATTGGTGATCTTAGACTAAAAATCCTTTGACTGTACTGAGAAACTCAGGAGACAGTTTTTCCTTCCCTCTCATTTGAAAGAACTTGAAGAATGACTAAAATGGCAGTGGTTTAATGTTAATATTCAGGATGAACGATGATAATTCAGATGGCAAGACAGAAAATGAATTACGATCATTATTTGTCAGTGACAAAAATGGGAATGCATATCCGTACAACCAGAGATTATCATCTGCACAAAATTCTTCATCTAATAATGTCAACCAGGATTCTACCAACCTAGGTGGCATGGTGGTTGAGTACGAAACCAACCCTGCTTCCAAGAGTGGTGAAAATATTTCTTTACACCAGGAATATGTTAAAGCACTTGATCACCAAAAGTCCTCAAGTGATTTCATTAATAAGGAGATGTTAGATGTGCACAAAGATTTCATGTGTCAGGCATCTGCACATGTTTTAAATACAGAGGACCCTGAGTACCTGCTTAGTAATTGTCATTCCCTAGGAGAAATTCAGGACCAGAGTGTTGAACAATCACCACCTTTTGTATGGAGACCTAATGATGATTTGAACTGTGTAGGTCACCCTGCTGCCTTGGAGGGAAACCAAACTTTTGACTTGAAAGAGGATAAAATTGATTGCACTTTTACAGTACATCATGCCATTGATAAGAGTCCCGCTTTTCATAGCACTGGTATGGGAGACAGAAACACCACTCTGTCCAGCTCCAATATGTTATCTTCTCATTCAGATAAGATGCACGTGAAAGAAAAGATTTATAATAGAGAGAGATTCGAAAACTCCCTAGCAGAGGCCCAGGATACAACTTACTCAGTATTTTCTGATCTGATGATGCAAACTGATGCTGTTCTTCCAGATATTGGACATCAGTGTCAATATTCTTCAGGAAAGGACACCAGTGAGTACACAGATGGCTCCGAGCGAAGACTAGTGGGAGAGCAAGAGATACAAGCTCTAACGCCAGCTTCTGATGGTGTGGGTGTTCCCAATGGGTCTGTATTACAAGAGTCCTTTTGTGTATCCAAAGATGAACCAAAGAGTGAGACACATTCACAGAGCTCATATGGGCAAGAGGAAATGGGCCAGCATCTAGGAGAAACACTGCCCAATTGTCTTATCGATGATGAATGCCCTGTATCAGTGCCAGCCTTTGGCAAAAGTGAAGTCGAAGCACTGAGCCCCGAGCATAAAGTCACTGTGATTAAAGACATACAAATTGCTTACAATGAGAAGGATTTGGGAAGCCCACATGGGACCTTAGATTTGAGACTAAGCCCATCTGGACAAAAGGTGGCATCATCATTTGAGATGTCTTGGAATGCAAATGATACATTCATTAGTTCAAATCACCCAGTTTGCATGTCAACGCCAGCCCTGGAAGCCTCACATGCAACGTTTTGCATTTCACCTATTGAAGCAAGGGAGAAATGTAATCAAGTAGACAAAAGTAATCAAGACCTTCGGAATTTATTAAACTTGAACGAATCACCTATAAACATGTCTAAAATGAGTCTGGGAAAATCAGTAACCAAAACGAATACCCCTGTAGGCAGCAAAGTTAGAAAAACGGAAATCATAAGCTACCCAAAACCAAACTTCAAGAATGTCAAAGCAAAAGTGATGTCCAGACCAGTGTTGCAGCCCAAAGATCCTGCTTTATCAAAGGGCACACCCAGATCGCAGTTGAGCAATGCCACATCTCCCTCCTCAGTGTTTCCTTCGAGACAGTTGACAGCTCTGAGCAAAACGCCGAGACCCGACTTGACTGCAGACACAAAAGCAGAAATCCTAATTAACAAGACACATAAGCAGCAATTTAATAAACTCATTACAAGCCAGGCTCTGCATGTTACAACTCATTCTAAAAATGTTTCACACAAGGTTCCAAGAGCAACATCTCCTGTGAAATCAAATCAGGAAGATGTTGACAAAGCCAGTTCTTCTCATTCACCGTGTGAGACTGGGTCTGTCACTGCGTTTTTCCAGAAGATCAAAGGCATGCTCCCTGGTAAAATGGAAAGCCCAGCCTGTTTTGGAGTGACATACATGTCTAACATTGACCGGATTAGCCCTGAAAAGAAGGGTGAAAAGGGAAATGGGATGCCCTTGGAAAAGCAAGAGCTAAAAAGGAGGGAAATCTTGAACGAGACCTTCGAATATGGCTCTCTCTTTTTGGTAAGTGAAATTTTTGCTTGCTTCAGAGGTAGTGGAGGAAATAGGTACACCAGCAATTAATTACCCACTATTAGTTAAGAACATTACAGAACTAGATGTGCAAATTTGCTTTCAGGAGGCAATACATTGTTCAGTAATTCTTGGTCTAGTCACTCAGTACTTATTAAAGGTATGATAGGTCACAAAACCTACATATTGAAAAATCCTTAGACTCTATTTTAAAACTTCAATGCTCCTTTTAATATGGGGCCAAATAGGACAAGTTACTATTTAATATAGATTTTAAAGTTAAATATATGATTATAATCTTACAAGTCTTATGTCTTGGGGAACATTTTTTTTATAAACTTTATATTTGAGCACATTAAGAAATGGCTAGGGAGTGCTGGTAAGCAGTACAAGTTTACAAATAACTGCTGTCTTGTTTTTGAGGACGGTGCCTCTGGGAAGTGGAGTCCTCTCTTGTGAGCAGTATTTTTGAGTCAACTTCTAACCAGCTGTTGTGATTTTGAATAAGTTGCCTTCTGAAGTCCGAAGGTCAGACGAGATAGATGTCTAAAGTCTCTCGTAGCTGAAATGCATTGGATTCCTGGTACAGAGAATCCATATTATTCACAAAGAGCGGAAAAACCTGCTTTTTCATGGTACCTATCCAATATGCAAGAGACTTGGAGAGCTCTGTCTAATGATAAACAGTGACGGTGTGCAGTTCCCAAAGAGTATTTTTCTTTACTCATGCATATTGTTGTGACAATAACACGGAGAGACTGTCTCTCCATGTTGAAAACATGAGACTGGCCATTAGAGGCTATGTGTGCTTATTCTCAGCCTTTTGGCCACAGAGACTTAAATATATTTTTAGTGTCACACAGGCTTTTCTTGGGCTCCTGTCCTATGAGCCAGCACAGGGCTAGGTGACACAGTAGGAAAATAGATGCTAGACTGCCAGGATCCTAGAGGACTCGTGTCCAACAGGAACGTCACATGCAAGCAAGACAGGTGTTACAGGGCTGCTTCAGAGGGATGTGCAGGGCTGGTGGGTGGGTAGGAGCACACAGGAGTTGTCAGGAGGCCTTAGAGGATCAGGTTAGGATAAACTTGAAGATATTATTGGGTTAGGACTATTTAGAGATGTTTGGGTTTCAAAAATTCATGTTAGGACCAAGGAAGCCCTTGACTGAGAATAGAAAGGTTGGTGGTGGGGACTCGCCAGCCAGTCTGGAAAAAGATGAGGCAGCATGCTTCTGTAAAGATGTGCGGGCCAACTCTGCCCGTTCCTGTCAGTCTCTGATAGTCCACATCTACTTGGCTACAAGGGGGTTGTTTGTTTGTTTGTTTGTTTTATTAGGAAGAATGATAAACTACAATGATTTCTGAACTATTGCACATAATCTCCAGACATAGATTTTGTTCATAAGTTCTTTTGGCGCTAAACTTACGAAACTAATTTTCCTATGGTGTTTTAAATTCTAGTAACGTCTGGTAGTTCTCATCAAGATTAGTTTGCTGTGGACATAACACATAGAAATAAGACATTTATTACTCCCTGATGCACAAAAGACCTTAAATATAGATATAGATAGATAGATACCTTCTACTCCTAGAAAAATAGCATACAGTTTTTGCTTTTGTTTTTTAATTGATGTATTTCTTGGGTATAAAACTGGCTGCACACATGTGAATCTGAAACTTCTGTCGGTGTGTGCATTGAGACCCTCTTAACCTGGTGTTTCCCATGTGGGAAGTGAAAGTTTGCCTTTCAGGTTCATAATGTGACATTGAAGTCATGACTTCAGACTGCACATATCTTACCCGTCTGGCAGAAGAAGCACTTTTTATCTTTACTCAGCAAACTTGCCGTTAGTCCTCGTAGTTAAATATGAAACACATTGTAAACACGAAGGACGCACTGTGAGGGCTCGTCCGCATGTTCTGCACTGCCTTGTTTCCATGTCACCTTGGTCTGAAAGTCTCGTTCTTTGCAGTGGTCATGTCTCAAGCACATAGTGCCCCTGAGTTCCTCAATCCCCCC